CTCCCTCCCCGCCTCCCCGCCCCTGCCCCGGGCCTCACCTCCTCACCTCCCCGCCCCTGCCCCGGGCCTCACCTCCTCACCTCCCCGCCCCTGCCCCCGGGCCTCGCCTCCCGGGGCGCAGCAGGAGCTGATGCTTCTGGGAGTCCCAGATGCAGCTGAGATGAGTGCGCCCCCCCCCAGCAAGCCCTGCCGGCTCTGCGCCGCCCCCAGCGCGGGCTCGTGTGGCGCTGAGTGCGTGACTCACGCAGCCCGGGCCTAATGACCCACCTGCCTTCTCCCCGCGGGCGGCGCCCTCCGCCCCCGCCTTGCAGGCCCCCCGCCCCGCAGGCCCCCGCCCCGCAGGCCGGCCGTACCCCGCCGCTCTGCCTCCGCCCTGCTGGCTGCCGCTGGAAGAAGGAGCCTGTGCGGCCGGGCTGAAGGCGCCGGTGACTGAGATCCCCGCGGCCGCGCTGCCTGCATTCTAGCATATTCCCGTGTGCACGAGAATTCCCGTGTGCACCTTAGGGTGCGTCCCGAGCCAGCTCAGGTTGCACGGGGATGCGGCCTGCCCCGGACAGCGCGGGCAGAACACAGTCATAACCCAGAGCCCAGCTCCGCCTTCTCCAAACCTACGTGGCGGGTCTGCTCCAGAGCCACAGACAGCCCGCGTCCATCCCCGGCGCGGCCAGCGGCTGAGTGCTCCCATCAAGCTGCAGAATACCCCTGGAGGAGCGCTGGAGAAGAGCAATGTGCCATGATGCCAGTGTGCTCAGAGAAGTGCACTATGAGGACACAGGCAAGCGCTGGAACTCATGCAGGCTTCAGAGGCAAAGCCGGGGACTCCTCCCTCCTGTCCCAGACATTCACAAGTGTGTGGGATCAAGGCCAGTCACTCCACGTGGAGAGCCGGAGACACTGCAGGATGGGGGGGGGGGGGAGGAATGCACTTCCTGTTACCTCCGAAGAGGCCAGGTTTTCCTTTAAGAGTCTTCGGTTGCTGTGATGATTGGGGAGGGGGTGGGGGGCAGGGCAGAAAATGCAAGTGGTTCCTGTTAGGGCTTGAGCAGATTGCTCCATTTCCTGTCTGGGGACTCCTGCCCTCCCGCTGTGGACTCTGCCTCCTCACCCGCAGAGATGCCCTGGCAGAGTCCAGAGTCCTGGGGCAGCGTGGAGCCGGGAGCTGGGCTGCCAGGCCCCTTGGGAAGAAACTCAGCATGGATTCCAAGGACCTCAGCCTGGCACCTCTGACACAGGACGGCCCTAAGAGCGAAGCTCCGGGTGGAAGGACCGGGAAGGTAAACACAAAATGGCCTCAGGGCCTGGGTGGGCACTGAGAGACAGGGCTCAGGCCCCACCTGGAGCCGCCTGCAAAACAGATCCTCCACGGAGAGTTCTGCACCGTGCCTGAGAGCCGTCCCCCTCCTTCCCCTCCCAGGTCACCAGGCAGTGACGCCAACGATCAGGTTGTGGCACTCTTTGCTCCGGAGGGAGCCATGGGAGGAGGAGGGGGACAGGCAGACCGCCAGGCTGAAGAGACAGCTCCGTCCACCGCTTTCCACCCTCGGCCAGGCCTCCTGCGTCTCAGCGGGTGGGTGCAGACAGGAGCCGGCCACGTGAAGTCTTTACGTTCTCCACACATTGTCTATCTTTCTCCCCGCCCCTCTTACCTTCTGCTGGTTGGTGAGAACTCCCTGCCCTAGCAAATACCATACACTGTGAGCCTTAACAGTAGAAATGCTGTGTCTCGCCATCCCGAAGGCTCACACTGGGAACCGAACCGCCCGTGGGCTGTGAGAGGGGAGTCATCCCATGAGTCTGTCCTCAGAGCTGGCTTCGTGGCAATATTGGGCTTCCCCTGGTCTGAGGCAGCTTAACTCCAGTGTCCATATCAACGTCTCCCCTGTACGGAAGAGAACTTGCAAGTGCTCAAAATGCGCAGGGCCCCTTCCACGCATTGCGTCTCATGTGACGACTCACGCCCCTCATCCTAGCCACCCAGGAAGCTGAGGTCTGACCATCAAGCTTCGGAGCCATCCTGGGCAGATCAATCTGAGCAACTCATCTCCAGTTGACCTGCAAAAAATTAAAAGGAACTGGAGGCATGGTTCAAGTGGTGAAGCACCAGCTATGAGGAAAAAGCAAGAGCTGAGTCCAGGCCTCCGTACCAACACAAAAAGGAGGAAGAGGGGGAAAATAGAGTAAAACAGAGGACAAGGGACTGAGGGCATGGTTCAAGCTGGGGCACATCTGCCAAGTGCAAGGCCCTGAGTTCAAATCCTCATACTGAAAACGAACGAACAACACTGAATGTCAGGACTTGGAGGAGGTCCAGCGCCCTCTAATGGGCTCCCCCAGCGGAGCGGACGGTCTCCACCGTGACTGATGGATGCGTTTTCCTTTCTCTTCCCAGGACTGGTCCTGCTGGCTGGTCGTGGCCTCTCTGGTGGGCGCCTTCGGTTCCTCATTCCTGTATGGATACAACCTGTCGGTGGTGAACGCTCCAACCCCGGTGAGTGTCTGTGCGTCGCCCAGCAGAGGGCGCTGCGGCCATACGAAATCTTCAAGCACCTGCTTAGCTGGCAGGAGGCCACCTGCAGCTGGGCAGCTCGGAGGGGCTTGGGGAGTCCGAACCCTGTGCTGGACGCTGAGGTACTACAGCAGGTGATACCTGAGCCCAGCCTCGCGTGGAGGGATGGCCTGACATTCCGGATCTTGCCGAGCAATGAGGGTATTTTTTCAGGTACCTGGAGCATAGCACAGACAGGAGCCAGGCTGGGCAGGCCGGGAAGGCTTTGGGGCTTTTCCTCATTTGGAAATATCCTAATCGCCAAGCACAGGGGAGCACGGGCTGGCGAGTCTCTAGGTGTTCTCAGAGCCCCCAGGATTACTGTAGAAGTTCCTCTGAGTTCCAGGTTTGTGTAGCAATCCGTTTTCTCTAACCTTTCGCTGTCACTCTGAGAAGGGGACTTGATTTTCCAGGGTTGTCTGAGTGACAGAGGACTGGGAATTTGGCATCTTCATCTTGGAAGTTCTGCCGTGTGGCCAGCTTGCGGGGGGGGGGGGGGAGGGGAAGGCGGTCCTTTGAACTGAAGGATTATGGGGTGAAGAGACAGGTGAGACTCTAACGGAATGGATGGATATGGGTTTAGGCAGGGACTATGGAACTTCCTTCTTTCCTTCCTTCGTTCCTTCGTTCCTTCCTCCCTTCCTTCCTTCCACAAGGCCCAAAGCTGAATATCAGGAAGGCAGCATGGAAGGGGTAGCATCTACACTGAGCCCTGAAAGGCAACAGGGTTCCAAAGGCATTAGAGAGATGGGGGGGCATGTAGTGGGCATGGAAGTGTGACCCATCAGGCTCATGGGTCAGGAGGGGAGGAGACGGAAGGCGAGGTGGAGAAGCAGGCTGGAGTCAGAAGAGGAGCTCAGACCTTAAGCCAGGCAGCGTTCTTTTATGGACAGTGAAGAGCCACAGCAGGTTCTTGAGGTGTCGGGGAGACGTGCAGGGTTGGGGCTTTCCCATGGGAATGTGCCCAATTCAGCCCATGGATGTTGCCTCCACTTCACCGTGGGGGAAGGGGTTCAAGGCTTCTGTACCTTGCCCAAGACCTCATAGCTGGAATTCAAACCCTCGTCTGCCCAAAGCCAGCTCAGGCCTTTCCCATCCCTGTCATCTGCCAGCGGTGCCAAGCCTCAAAAGCTCAGCGCGCTGGGAGTCTTGGCATAGGCAGCGAAGGCAAGAATGAACATGAGGCTCTGAGCGACCTCACCACACACAGAGCGAGCTGTTTCCTGCCAGGCCCAGGCCGCAGATGCCCGGGCTAGGTTCTCCTTACATGACTCCAGGGTCACGGACAAACCTCGCTGAGGCTGAAGTGACATCACAACGGTGACCCTCGATCATCTGAACCTTGACAAAGCCCCCGTCCCCATCACTGCAAGGAGAGATGCAAGGCCCCCGTGTGGTCCAACAGAAAATGCACAATGGCTTTAGTTAGGCTAGCACCCCCAAAGCTTGCTCCCTTCTGAGGGCCTGGCCACAGCACCCTTTCCCTGCTCTACCCCCTGCAAGTGATGAGGTTTCAAAATTGTTTCATGGACTCTGGTGCTGGTGGCTCGCATCTGTCATCCTAGCTGCTCAGGAGGCTGAGATCTGAGGATCCCAGTCAATGCCAGCCGGGTAAGAAAAGTCTTGGAGATTCTTATCTCCAATTAACCAGCAAAAAAACCATGTGCCTCAAGTAGTAGAATGCCAATCTTGAATGAAGAGACCAAATGAGAAGGTGAGGCCTGAGTTCAAGCCCCAATATTGAGACGAGGGAGAGAGAGAGAGGGAGAAAGAGAGAGAGAGAGAGATTACAGGGAGACATGGGGGAGGGAAGCTGTGAACACCGGATTAAGAGTGTACTTCTTCTCTACCTGGGGAAGAGAGAGGCCCTTACTGGAGCTTTGAGACCCACCATCACTTTATGGGAACAAGGAAGCAGAGGCAAGACTCAGCCCTTTGTCCAGCGGTCCCCTGTAGTGACTGTAGGACTGGGGAACCAATCTCAGACCCCGGGAGGCTGGAAACAGAGCAGAAACTCCAAGCAAAGTCTTGACTGGGGCTCACGGGAAGGAGGGAGTTGTGGAATGGAAAAGATGCCCATACTGGGCATAGAGCGGCTGCCCGCAGAGATGAATGGCAGCTGCCACCAGGGGGCGCTGCTAGACACAAGAGACTGTGGTCACTGCAGCTCCGGCCCGCCTCTGGTGACAGCACCACCTCTACTGTACTCAGAGCAGGTGTTGGACCCAGATCTAATGCTCCTTCCTGCTTCCTGGGCTGACGTGCTACCGTTCGGGTCAGCACCCTCGTTCTGTAATGTCTGGACGGTGACTGATTTACACTGGGCAGAGCTTAGGGTCTTATTGCAAGTGTTCAACATTACCTTC